ACACACACACACACACACACACAGTGGCTGCAACAGTAAGCTCAGGTGTAGCAAAGATTCTAAGGCTGATGCAGGGCCAGGCAGTGTTTCATTCTGTTGTACATAGGGTCGAAGTGCCAGCTCTACAGCAACTAACAACACATTTATATATACTGCAAATACATCCATGAATATAGTAGAGGGTGCAGAAGGCAAAGTTATGAAGCCCAGAAGCATATTCTTCTATGAGATCTAGGTAGTAGTAGAAAATGTCAGCATATATTATATAATAATAAACCGAAAAAAGCCAAACTCACTGCCATCGAGTCGATTCCAATGCATAGTGACCCCTACTGGGTTTCCAAGCCTGTAAATGTTTATGGAAGTAGATTGCCCCATCTTCCTTCCATGGGGCTGCTGCTGGGTTTGAACTGCTGACCTTCTGGTTAGCAGCTAGATGCCTTATCCACTACAGTTAAAGCATCTACCTTCAAAATTATTATTCAAGCACAAATGATAACTGAATACAGTTGTAACTAATGAAAGTAGAAGGTATTAAAGTAAGTTTTATGAGTTGAAATAACATGGTATTTTAAAATTGATGTGTAATTTTTAATACATGTAAAAATTTTTGATGTAGAAATGTCTCACATTACCACATAAACTATCTTTCCAAATAACTAATGATTGATCCTTTTAATGGCCACATGTTTAAAAAAAAATGTATTTCAGATGGAAATTTTAGATAGAATGTATTGAATGTAAGCTATTGGAGCTATTAAGAAACAATTGTACTATATTATATAAAAGTGATATGCTGTGAGCATTGGAAGAATCAGCTACTTTCCATGATTAACTAGATCCATATTCTCTTAATACATTGTGTTTTCCTGTGGAACGTCCATGCCTTTGATATCTTCTATTCCCTTTACCTGGAATACCACTGCATCCCATGTTGTCAAAGCCCCATGTGGTGTCTCCTCCAAAGAGACTAGTCTTGGTTGCCTCAACCAGATGGGAACTTCTCTTCTAACACCAGTACTCCTTTGTATCCTTTGCAAGATACTTACCTTACACTTAACCATAGTCTACTTACATCACTGTCATTTGCATATTCACTTAAATCCATTAGTAGAGTATGACTAACTATAGTTGAGAATCCATTTCTCATTTTGGCATACCCAGAGCAGAATCTGGTCGAAATCTTGTGTTTTATAACTGAATAAACTAAGGAACAGGCTGGTCTAAGATCTTTCAAGTGCTCTTTCACTCACTTTTCATGGTTTGGAAGGAAAATTTGATACACTTGAACTTTTAATTTTTAAACCTGAGACCATTCAGAAACAAATTGGAATATTTTATATAATCAGAGTCCAAAAACTCCCAAAAAATTAAACTGTGTAAATGAAACTAGTTAATGGACATAGATTGGTGGCTGTTGTCATTTATTCTGTATTAGGCTATAAATTTTTTATAACATTAAATACTTAATACTTTGTATTGAGAAAGTACTAAGTATACTATTTAAAAAAGGATTTTGTCAAAACACAGAGGTCTGCTTCTGAAAGGCCATAGTTTTGAAGCCTTGTAGAGCAATTCTGCTCTGTACCTGTGGGGCCGCCGTGAGCAGGAATAGACATGACAGCAATTAACAGCCAGTATTTTATATACTCTAATATACTTGTTTTAAAAGTTAATGAAAAATGTGACTGTTTTACAGGATGTGAATTCAATATTAAAAGAGGAACAGGTTATCAAAGGCTTTGAAGATGAAGGGTCATACTTAATTCAGGAACACCAGGATTCTCTTGTGTGTCAAGGAATTCTTGATTTAGAAGAAACTGAAATGCCAGAGCCCCTGGCTCCTGAAAGCTACCCCGAGTCAATCTGTGAAGAGGATGTTACCTTAGCTTTGAAAGAACTGGATGAAAGATGTGAAGAAGAAGAAGCTGACTTCTCTGGACTGTCTAGGTGAGAATACGGTATCACAAACACTATACCAAGGTCACAGGTTCTTCCCCATTCCCTCTAAATATGCCCTTCCATTCCAGTTTATTTACTTTCATTTTTTTAAGTATGTTTTAGTTCATAATCACACTCTACAATTTCTTTTTTAAAATAATATGATGAGCTTTTTTTTTCTTTCTGTTACTGACATTCACTTAAAGACAAGTAGGCCATTCTCAGAGTGTAATCAGAGGCACTCAGTATCTAGAGGAACACCAAATGCCAGTTATTGTTGAATGCCAAATGGCCAAGTGTTAAAATCATGATTTGCCATGACCAAAACCAAGTTCAAGACAAGTTAGAACTAGTTCTGCTGATAATTAAAATTATCACGAAAAGAATGTTCAGAAGAGAATAATTCAACATAGTTGGATATATTGGCCTAATTTGTATTCATTATTGAATGAGCTTCAGCAATACAAGAATAATAAATAATAAATGTTGTTGTTGTTGTTATGTACCATTGAGTCAGACCCGACTCATAGGAACCCCTCCTTGGGTTGCCGAGGCACTATCACTATGGAAGTAGATTGCCCAGCCTTCCTTCCAAGCAGTGGCTGGTAGGTTTGAACCGCCAGCCTTCTGGTTAGCAGTCAAGTGCCTTAGCCACTATGCTACCAGAGCTCCCAAATATGAAATAGATCCCAAAAATATGTTTTACTGTTTTGTTATATACAGTTAGATTTTTAAAGTTTGATTATCTGTAAGAGACAGAAATGGTTGTTTATTTACTATTTTCTGCTAGATTGTGCCATTTAAATGTTCATGCTCCATTCACTCAAAATTGATTATCACAAGCTATTATGAATTCCCAAATAGACCTTTTTCTTTACTCATGGGCTAACTAAATTGAATAACCAATGACTCTATGTAGTCCTTAAAGGAAATGTTGGTTGCTGTACATTTCTTAAATCACTGTGTATACATAGATAAAGATAATCTACATTGAATGACTTAAACTATAAAGTAAGTAAGTCTATTCTGTTTTTTTAAGAGAGTATTATGATTATTGTGATATTTCTGTTAACAGTCAAGATGAAGAAGAGCAGGATGGTTTCCCAGAAGTACAGACATCCCCTCTACCGTCACCATTTCTTTCTGCCATAATAGCTGCTTTTCAGCCAGTAGCATATGATGATGAAGAAGAAGCCTGGCGCTGTCATGTCAACCAGATGCTGTCCGACACCGATGGAGCCTGTGCAGTATTTACTTTTCATGTGTTTTCTAGGCTGTTTCAGGTCAGTGAGGTTTATAGTTTCTGAAATCCTACTAAGGGTACCTGACAATGTTACAGTTTTTTCTCCTAAATTAGTCTCTCAAAATTTTAAAAATTTAATTTTTTTTTTTTAATTTAGAATTTAATACTTTTCTAGAAAACAGTTTTTCTAATCTAGTGATTATAGTACTTCTGGTACTGAACAAAATGAATGGTTTCTAGAAAACAGTTTTTCTAATCTAGTGATTATAGTACTTCTGGTACTGAACAAAATGAATGGTATGGATTTCTTCCCAAAGGCAATTAGAATGAAACTTAAAACAACATCAGATACACTACGCTAGGCACCTTTAGGGATACCAAGGAAATGTAAGGCATAGTCCCTTGCCTTCAAAGGAGCTTACAGTCATTATAGTAAAACAGTTCATAATTAAGTGTTAAATTATGTGACATTTTTATTACTATGTTGGGACCTTAAAAAGTTTAGCTATTTAGGGTCCTTCCAATCCTTGAAAAAAATTATCATAATAATGATAATACCCAAAACCAAACCCAGTGCCATCAAGTCAGTTCCAACTCATAGCAACCCCTATAGGGTTTCCAAGACTGTAGATCATTACATAAGTAGATTGGCTCCTTTTCCTCCCATGGAGCAGCTGGTGGGTTTGAATCACTGACCTTGTAGTTAGCAGCCAAATGCTTTACCCACAGCACCACCAGAGCAACTAGTAATAATACCATCTGATACCTACTGAGTATTCACTCTGTGCTGGGCACTGTGCTAAATGTTTTACATTAAGTATTTATATTTAAAGTAATCCTCACAACAACCCCATGGAGTGTAGATAGTATTATTTTCAGTAGTCTGCTGATAGGCGAGGGTCCCTCAATGGCACAGAGTGTTAAGTGCTTAACTGCTAGCCAGAATGGGAAGTTTGGACACACACAGAAGCACCTTGGAAGACAGTTATGGTGCTCAGCTTCCAAAAGGTCACAGCTTTGAAAACCCTATGGAGCAGTTCTCGTCTGTATGCATGGAGTCACTGTGAGTCAGAATTGAGTCTAGGCAGCTAAACTAACCCACCAAAAAACCCACTGATTTTAATGCTACTGTTTAAGTCAATATCCTTGTAACTATCAACCATCTTTCCTATCTAAGCAAATTTTGCCCACTTTGGAAGACCCAGCTCAGGTACATCTTCTCACTGAAGCCTTCCCAACAGCTCAGACTTCCAGTTTCTGCCTCCTTGAAGTTCTTTAGCGCTCATTAACTGGAGCATCTATTTAGTTAATTCTGTACTCCTCTATATTGTTACTTGGTTGTCTGTTTGTATTCTTCTCTTTCTTGAGGTCAGAGACTGTGGCTTATGCTTTGTTTTAATTAATCATAATGCCACCTAACGGTGTTACACATATACATGTAGGTATACCTTAACTATTTATATAATAATTACTAAGCATTCATTGATGGCTTATTGTGGGTCAGGCACTGTGTGATTGTCCTATGTAGATGAGTATTCATGAGTTCTGAGACAATACTGCCCTTAACATTTTTGTGACTTTAAAATTAAAGTCAGGTGACAGACCATAGCCAAGGATAGTAAATTACATTTACCAAAAGGATCTTTCCCATAGGCCTTTGAACTTTTATGTTGTTGTTGTTATGTGCCGTCAAATCGACCCCAACTCATAGTGACCCTCCTTGGGTTTCCCAGGCAGTATCATTACAGAAGTAGGATTGCCCAACCTTCCTTCCAAGGAGTGGCTGGTGGGTTTGAACCGCCAGCCTTCTGGTCAGCAGTCAAGTGCCTTAGGCACTATGCTACCAGCGCTCC